TGTGTGTTGTGGTGGTGGTGCCTGGAAAGTCTGTCTTAACAAGTCATGACGATCTTCAGTCTTATGGCGGCCGCTTCTCGCCTGCCTCGTCTGCTTCTCTTCCTCCGTAAGTACTTAAACACCTTTGTTTTACATAACTAGGATTGATACTTTGTATTTTGTTGCTGTTGTTGGTGTGTGTGTGTGTGTGTGTGTGTGTGTGTGTGTGTGTGTGTGTGTGTGTGTGTGTGTGTGTGTGTGTGTGTGTGTGTGTGTGTGTGTGTGTGTGTGTGTATGTGTGTGTGTGTGTGTTTGTGAGTGTCTACCAGGGCTTATACAGAGGTAGGTTAAGAGTTTCTAGATTTATTTATTAGCTTTTAGCTAATATTTGAGTCATTTTATTGTTTTGAAATACAAAAATAAGGAACAGGATGATAATGGAGCCATGTGTGGGTTAGCGTCTTCGTTTGTTCAAATGACATTATTTCATTGATGTTTTTGTGCAATTAAAACATGTTCCAGACCTGAGTCATTCTGGGAATGAAAAATCTCAGAAAAAAGTTCTTGAAAAGAGTACAGCTAAAATGTAGTTGCTGTTTACTGCCCGCCTTGCTTTAAGAAAGTTGTCTCCTCGCTGTCCACTAAGTGGTGCTAAGTGCGATACCTGGACAACTTGTCCTTGTACATAATAGTAAGACCATCATCATGTCTCCAGTGTTGGAGGCTCTGCTGAAATGACAGATCTATCCTGACCGGGTCACAACGAAAGATAAGCCGTCTTGTTCGGTGCTCTATTCTCTCCAGAAGCTGTAGATGAAACACGGGGCAGTCAGTTCAAGCAAGTGGAGCATAGTCGTGGTAAGAGAGCACTTGTGCCTCGTACAGAGTATTGCATCCATTACTGACGAATAGGTACGAGATATAGTGCTATTAGCTTCTTGGATGCAATGTTTACGAGATTTACCTCTTGGTTCTTCGTAAAATTTGGAATCAAATTTCACCCCAAGAATATCCAACTTATCACTGGGTTCTAACACTCCCTATTCATTCTTACAACTGTTCCAGCATTACCATCATGGTGCCTAGAGTCAATCATCATTTATGTTTTCTGGGAAACAAATGAAACTTTAAACTGTTTTTCTCTGGATGATATAGCTGTAGGATGGTGATTAATGTACCTAAGACCAGATGTTATTTTCTCTCTTAGATAAGTAAACGTCAGAGTACAGTCGTCTGCGTACGTACTGGATTCTGGGAGGAGTTGAAGAAGGCCATTGATGTCATAATTCCAAAAAATTACCCAAGCACACTTTCCTGTGGAATATTGACAACGATTGTCTGTTTTTTTTTTACTCTATCCCATCAAGAACTACTCCTAGAGATCTGCCTTGAAGGTTACCACTGAGGAGACATAATGCAGAGTTCTTACAGTTTTCCCAAGAATCTCTGGTGGCAGATTGTGCCAGCAGTGTCCAGTGCTAGTACATAGCAGAATTGTATCCATGCAGTGACTGTTGACGCATAGTGGACAGGTTTAACAGTAGATCAGCAACAGAGCAACTTTTTATGAGGTAATGTTGACGGTCACATTTAAGTGAATGGAGATCGAAAAATGTTATTTACTGTGAGAATAATATCTCAAGAATTTTGCCAGTGATTGACAGGAGTGACACTAGTGTGTAGTTACTGATTTCAGCTCTGCTTTTCTTTTGTGAAGAGGAACTACATTCTTCTTTCCACAGAGAAGGCCATTTACACTGTGCTAGGTAACGCTAGATGCAAGTTAGAGGTTATGCTAGCTGTTCTGCACATTTACTCAGCAATCTTAGGCTTACCTGACCTGAGCTCACGGCGTTTTCTTGATCCTGGGGCTTAATTAAGGAAATGTACTTCATCGTACTCAATTGTGTCTTCGGACAACTTGATACAGTTCCTGCAGATACCAAAGTAGGTTCCCTAATTGGATCAGGGACTTATATCTTGGCAGCAAAGTGTTCAGGAAATAAGTCAGCTCTTTCTAGACTGCAAGTAGATACAATCCCATTCTGTCAAGTTTGAGGTGGAATAATTTTAATTTGGTTTATATCTTTGTTGGTTTTTGACCAAAGACCACCAGGGTTTGTAGCCCATTCTTCCTGATGCCACCTTTCTCTTTGTGTCAGTCTCCCATGTGGAGGTGATCCATTTCCTGGACTTCTTCCATTTCCAACTAGCTTTCCTATGCAGGTTCCTGTTATGGCTAGTATGATGTTTCCTATAGTTCCTCCAAGCCATGAGCTTAGCAGTAGCGGCCTCTTGGCAACGAAGGCTGAACCAAGGCTGCTCTGAAGTTAATGCGTCTGCTCGTGAAGATTAAGGATATGTTCAGTGAAAGTGCTCATGTGGTTATCAATATCACCTTTGAGAACAGCATTCAGATCGCAACGAGCGACGAGCAAAGGACCGGACAGTTTCCTCTTCATCACAGCCAGGATGTGCATGAAGATTGTTCACCTCTTTTAGTTAGTGTTAAGAGGTCGTGTTATATCTAGGGGGATAAACAACAATCTTGGCGGTAAACAACAATCTAGGGGTAAACATATTGCCTTAATCAAGCAAAATTGTTGAAAGAAAACTACTCTAGTGCCAACTCAGTCTTACAGTAAAAATATGCTTTAAACTGGTGACCAATACAGTGCTTAATAAACTCTTGGACTGATCCTCATGGAAGATTAAATAAACTCTAAGAAAATAAACATAACTAAACATCCAGTAAATACATCACAAAATCGATTTACTCTACCCTCCTTAAACATCATAAAACCCATAGTTTACACACGTGTAAACTCTTAGCAGGTGGTTAAAATGAGGCCGTAAGAAGATTAAACACGTAGCGCGTGCACAACGAGCTGGCAGTCTAAAAGACTGCCTCTTGAACACTGTTATTTCTGCTGCCTTCACACACACCTCACTTAAACAAGAGGGCCAGGCATCTCTCAGGACCTACGTTAGCATATTGCCTGGATATCACTATAAAATGCCACACATGGCAGCCATGCCATAATAATCACGTTTTAACACAGACGGCCAGTCTTATGAAGGTGGAAACCTGTGATTTTGGCTTTTGTCAAGTAGTGATGTTTCTCACCTGAGATCATCGTGGCCCACCCATGATCACAAGTAATGATGTTTCTCACTTGAGATCATCGTGGGTCACCCATGATCACAAGTAATGCTGTTTCTTACTTGAGATCATCGTGGCCCACCTATGATCACAAGTATTGTTGTTTCTCACTTGAGATCATCGTGGCCCACCCATGATCACAAGTATTGTTGTTTCTCACCTGAGATCATCGTGGCCCACCCATGATCACAAGTATTGTTGTTTCTCACCTGAGATCATCGTGGCCCACCCATGATCAAAAATAATGATGTTTCTCACTTGAGATCATCGTGGCCCACCCATGAACACAAGTGAAGATCAATGACCTAACTTCTAAAATTTGTCTGTCTGTCTGTCTGTCTGTCTCTCTCTTTGTCTCTCCCTCTCTCTCTCCTTTCTCCCAGTGCTCTACCACTGTAATGGCGTCTTGACGTTACTCTCGAGAATCCGCCACAAAACACCGACGTGAAAGATATATCAGAGAAACATTTGTCGACATTATAAACACTTTATTTCGTATTACAGTTGTAAACTCTAAATAAATTTAGCACATTATGGAGAACATTGGCAAGAGATTTTCAGTTGACTGTGTCTGCCACAGGGCAATCACTGCCAGGTCAAGATAGGAACCAGAGATGTGAGTAGCGAATTTAGCAAAAGTTTTTATGTCATTACAAGTTCCTCTATACAAGATACTGGTCAGAATATCCAAGAATTAAAATGTTAGCATTTATGTTGAGATGGAAAGAAATCCACGTTTTTAATCTGCAAGTTGATGTTTTCTTCTTGCTGTGATTGAGGTTCGAACATTGAACATGCTAGTACAGTGGTTTTAGGTTTTATGCAGAGCCTAAAGAACATCATTTCAACGTGACTATGACAACTACAATGAATTAGACATATTCACTTTTAGAAAAACAAAGGGCAATACCTCCTCCTTGACCTTGTCTATCTCGTCAAGTCTTTGAGGAGATGCTGACAATTTTATCGCAATTTTCCCATAGTCTTGTCCAAAAATATGTCAGCAACAACGATGAGTACTCACCTATCTGTACTCAACTGTTTGTGGTTGCAGGGATCGATTCATAGCTCCTGGCCTCCTCTCTTTGCTGGTTTCTACTACGTCCACTCTCTTCCTTCTCCATGAACTTTATCGAACCTCTTAATGCTATGTATTGATCCTGCACCCACTACATCACTCCTCAAATTGTTCCAATTCCTATTTTGTGACGGAAGAAATACTTCCTGTGACTCATCTGAGTTTTTAATTTCCAGCTGTGACCCCTTCTTGCTGCGTCCCATCTCTGAAACATTCTGTCCCTATCAAACTCGTCAATTCCTCTTAGTATTTTATATGTCGTTATCATGCCAACCCCCCCCCCTTCCACATCCCTCCTGTTCTTTAGTGTCTTCAGGTTGATTTCCCTTAAGCTCTCCCCGTAGAGCATGTCCCTTAGTTCAGGGATTAGTCTTGTTGGAAACTTTTGAACTTTCTCTAATTTTTTGACATATTTGACCAGGTGTCGGTTCCACTCTTGAATGACTCCTTATATAGATATCGAAACGCTATTCTTAGATTTGCCAGGCGCCCATATGATGCAGCAGTTTTTTAGATGATGTGCGCCTCAGGAGATGTGCTCGGTATGATGCTCGCCCAAGATCTTTTTCCTTGAGTGAGTATTGCAGCTTTTGACCTAGGCGGTCTTCTTTGTCCTTCCCCAAACTTCATAACTTTGCACTTGCTGGGGAGCCATTTGTCGGACTAGGCTTGCAGCTTGTTCAGATCTCCTTGTAGGCTTACCTGATCGTTGTCCACTTGTATTCTCCTCATTAGCTTCAAATCGTCCACAAACAGGGACACCTCTGAATTTATCCATTCTGTCATGCCATTCACATATACTAGAAACAGCATCGGACCTAGGACGGTCCTTTGTGGCACCCACTCTTGCACCTCGTCACCTGCCAACGTTGTTTCGTTCTTGTCAG